CTCCTCCTCTCCTCCTCACCTCCTTCCTCTCCTCCTCCTCTCCTCCTCTCCTCCTCTCCTCCTCTCCTCCTCTCCTCCTCTCCTCCTCTCCTCCTTCCCTGAGATCCTTCAGGTCCTCGTGGCTCTCGTGTCACCCTGCACTTCCGCAACGGTTATGGGCAGGTGACGCTGACGCTTGTCGGTCGAGCGATGACACGCGGAGCAGAACTACAGCATAGACCTCGTGAGGAACGTCCGCAGCTCCAAGAGGGCTGAGGCAAGCAGCAGTGCTGCAAGGTACCTCCCCCCCACCTCCCTCGCTGCTTCTGGTCAGCCAGCTGACGTTGACTCGTCAGGTCGATCCTGCAAGCGGGCACAAGAAATTCCTCAGACGTGCGTGCAACTTTGAAACGCTCTGCACGTGTCCTGACATGCACGCAGAACCTGGCGTACGCTCAGGCGCCGCCGCTCAACAGTGACATGTTCACTTCGGGAGGATCCTTGGTTCGCCAGCAGGTGCTACAAATGGCTGAAGCTAACAGGATGCAGGCAGGAGACTCGATCGCAGGAGACTCGTTCACGCCCTCCATCGCCATGGGAGATGACGACTATGGTAAGACAAGCTTCTATGCGGCGATGCAAGGAGGGTTTCAACTAACTAGACAACAGGTGAACAGATGTGAGGACTATCCCTGTTACGTCGATGATTTGCTGCACATGATGCTAATAAGCACAAATTCAACTTGTTATTCATTGAAGGCTCTCGGATCAATAAACTACCAACTTGCCAATATTTACAGCCATGCCCTGCATTCATATGGACGAAGAGGTTTGCGATGGATCTCATTGCTCTTTGTGTATTCCTCGCTTCTTATTTCTGTACAAGCAAGGGTCACCCCAATGAGCCGCTGCAATCTCCTCAGACCTTCTTTTCTGCTTCTTCAGCTCTAATCTCTTCCGCTCCGCGATGATCTGCATGACTCGGGCAGTCACTCGCACAACAAACTCAGATGTTTCGTTCGCACTTTGGACTTGTAGAAATTGTCCAGCGGGTGCTGCCACACACTCGACCCGCTCTCCCGGTGGTGATAGAAGACCTCGCCGTGATCGTTGGTATGCTGGGATCATGTCAGTAAAACTCTCAGAGACGCAGCGAACTACTTCCGACCACCCGTCGGGAAGGGGAGCCACCAGCCCCTCCTGCATGCGCAGTCACTTCACGCTGAGAGCCCAAGCGAGAGGATTCAGACCTGAGCGATGCGAAGCAGCTGGGGTTCTCTCAAAGGGTCGACGCCCAAGTACTTGGCGTACTCGATGACCTTGATAAGAATTCTTTCAATGAAACTTGAGGGAGCAATGAACGATGTAAATTTACATCTGCTGCATCGGCAGCTACGCAGCCCTCCAGTCTCTCTCGATCTTGAGCTCTTTCAAGATGCCTGTTGAAGGGAGCAGAGGGTCAGAGGGTCAGAAGACAACGACAGACTTTCAGAGGCGCTCGTAACCTGAAAGATCCTCTACCCTCGCTGTCTGCACTTCGACTGAACAGTGACGTGTGAGTAAATCCCTCGGGATCAACAACAACACTTACATGGAAGACGAGCTCAATGAAACTCCTGAGTTGTCTGAAGTCAGCGAGTGCCCATCTGAGTCTCTGCATCTGCCGTGTTGCATCAGAACAACACTTGGTAAAGTTCCAAAGTTCCTCACCGTTCGAAGCCCTTCTGCTTCATCTGCAGTGGTTGATGGAAAACGTTTGAAAGAAATGAACGGGCGAGAGAGAGAAAGTGAGGGAGAACAAGTAGAGTCAGTAACAGACACTGACGGAAGGTGAGAGAGGACGACGGAGGAGGAAAGAGGGGAAGAGAGGGAGAGTGAGGGAGAAAGGGTGTATGTGGAGGAAGCAATGGAAAGGTATCAGTGACGAGGTGAATGAAAGACCTTCTGTCGCCACGAAGCACTGCCGCCTGTTTCTCGCTTCCAGGAATCCCAGAGACTGTGTTCAGAGTCATTCAGCTCATGAAAAAGTGCACGGGACTGAGATCCAAACCTGCTGTCTTCTTCACTATCTGAGTCTTCTTTGTTCACAGCAACATGTATGACCACCTGCAGTCAAGTGTCAGGACCAGGACCAGGATTAGGATCTTGTTCAGCATCATCATCATCATCAACATCAACATCAACATCAACATCAACATCAACATCAACAACAACACTATTTTCATCATATTCTGCTCCATCAGATCTATATATTTCTCAGAATCACATACTTCCGTCTCTCCATTTTCCAACTCCGTCAATCTCGGAGCTACTGTGCGCTAATGCAAATGATTAGCAGCAAATGAATTATAATTTCTTCGATGCTCTCACTTTATCGCGGGATATCAATGCAGCCAGTCCCAACCCCTCCTTGAACGAGCTCTGTTGTGACATCAATGTTTTGCCTGCACTGCTTCTGCCTTCTTACCTGATGCTCCTTCTTGTACCGCGTTATTTCCTGTCGACCGTCATGATCCTCACCACAGCAAAGCAGATGTTCTAACCTCCGCCACTTCCTCGTTCAGAAAGTCGTTCTTGAGCCTCTCCAGTGCTGCAGCAGTGATCGACTTTTGCCCTCCACCGCTTCTCTGATGTCGCAAGAGAGCAGTCAGGTCAACTAGATCGGAGGATTGAATGGAGTTTAGCACACCTGCATTGATTGTGTTGGCGGCACTCAGAACCTGTCAGGATTCAGGTGAGTAGAGACGTAACATCTCGACACTTCAACTTCTAACAGTAGTTGGTGCATACACTAGTTCTTGAGTACGTGTATGGCTGAAGTTCTGTTACAGTAGCATCTATCGATCTACACAAGACTGCTGGTACAAGAACAGGTAACGATACTATCGCAGGCAAACAACTTGTGTGCTACAATCATGTAAATCCTGTATCTTCACGGTTTTGTATGGTCTTGAACGACAGATCAGCCTATCACACTGCAAGCTCGTCTTGGTCATCATCGTCATCGTCATCGCCATCGTCATCGTCATCGTCTTCATCATCGTAACTCGCATCCATCTCCGCCGTTTGACAAGGGCAACTGCCATCTTATCATTCCGGAGTATATATGTAGTATATATACGTATAAATATTCATTTTATAAATGTACCACTATATCACCGTAGGTACCAATTAATCACTTATTTCTACACATTTCATAAAGACTGTCTTGCTGGTACTAGTGCCTAGCCAGTGAGACCTGACAGGATTGGCATGCAAGTTCGAGTCACTTGAAGCCTTCAACGTCCTACTTGACAACCACGGGAGGTCTGACGGCTCAAGTCAAGTCACAACTGAACCACTCGGGAGTCGCCGCTTGTATCCCTCGCCCTACAGCACCAGCTGAAGGCCTCCCGCATGCGGTATGGGTCACCATCGTGACATCCTAACAGCTGTTCGAACCAGCTAAGATGGCCCCCGGCAACGTGACATTCGTTAATCCAATCCCTCAATCGCACTCTGCTTGAATCATCATAAGACGGCAACTGCGTGCCCCCGTCCCGTCATCGCCGTCTCAAACCCGTGGCGCTTTATGAACCGATTGCACCATCCCTTCGTCGCCCGAAACCCTCAGCCCAAGCTCCCCCGCTAACTCCTTGGCCTTCGTCCGGATCAGCTGCCTCCACTGCCCGTCCTGCTGGCTCATCTCCACGTACTCGTGCAGCCGCCGCTCCAGCTCCAAGTTGTGCGACCTCGCGCAGCTGCTCTGCGTCGCCTTCACCCCGACGCTTTGGATGGACCTCAGCCTCGCGACGTTGTCCGGCCGCAGGATCTTGGAGATGGCGGACTTGCTCTTGCCAAAGCGGGCTGCCAGCACGGACTGCGGAGTGCTGTTGACCTGATAGTCGTGGATGATGGCGAGCTTCTGGGCGATGGAGAGCTTGGTCTTGCTGCGGCACGTGAGGCTGTGCTGTGCCTTGCGAGCATCGCTCCAGCGGCTGGACTTTTGCAGAGGACCCGACGAGGTCCACGGCGGGGCAGGCGAGGGGTCCTGACAGCACGTGACGGCAGGGAGACAGGGTGGAGCCGTCAAAGCACTACTCAGCTCCGCCTGGGCTGGCGCCTCGAGGGCAGAGGCAACGCTCTCCTCCTGGATGGAAGCGGCAGGGAGAGCCCTGAACAAGATGTCCACCGCGTCGTCCATGCCACGGAAGGTGTCCTCCGGAATACACTGGTCGTGTGTAGCAGCGTCAGGCTCGTCAGGTCGATCCGGATCTTGATGGAGGTACACGAAGCAGCACTCTGCTAGGGGCATGGGAGCGATGCCCCACTGTTGCATTCGAGCTTGAGCTTGAGCGATGTAGTAATCCTGATCTGAGCTGGACATGAGTTTGCTATTAGGAAGGCTAGTGCTGGATTTGTGCAGGGCGGAGTGTCTGTTTTACCAGGGGAAGGGAAGTACAGCGGGAGCAGAGACCATCGGTCCCGGGTGCAAGCCTCGGCACAAGGGGGAAGGCAGCAATCTCCCTGGGAGACGGGGAGACTGCAGGAGGGAAGGGAAGGGAAGCAGGGATTGTGAGAGGGGAGGGGAGGGAGGGAAGCTGCAGGGGAAAGAGAAGGGGTCGAGTGGAAGCTTGTAGAGCGAAGCGCCTGTCGGATCCGTCACGGTTGGGTCGATGATAGAGTCAACGGGGGGGGGGGGGGTTATGGGGGGTTGCTGGGGGCCCATTTTGGGCTGAAGCGGGTGGGTCCAAAAGGGGGCGGTTAACTTCCAAGGCGTTCATGACCTGACACTAGTACTGAAAACGACCCTCGTTGATTGCGGGGGGTTACGAGATCAACTTCGGGTTATTACCGATACATGATACATCCACATACGGTGATACGCGGTGTTCTCCGTGCTTTGAAGTTCAGTATCAGGCGGCGGCCCCGGCCACTGATCCGCCCAACTGAGCCGTAAAGAGACTTGTGGCACCCGTCTCCGCAGTCACTGACGGCGTGTCGGATGTTTGAGAGTCAAGTTTCTCCGTAGTAAAGTCTGATTGAACAAACGTACTGCTTTTTAACTTAACTTTGAGTAAAGAATAAACCTCCGAACATTGTTCTTAAACCAGCCGGCGGCCGCTCCGAGTAACTGGGCTAAGCGCTTGGGCGGCGGCCCGGGCAGGGCCCGGGGGCCCGCCCGGCCTGGGGCCGGGGGCCCGGCCCGGGAGGAGGCCCCCGATTCCGAGTGCCCGAAGTTTGCCGCCCGGTGACAGCGAGTCCCGGCCCGGGCGCCCGGGCGCCCGGCCGCCGCCGCGCGGCAGTCCGGGGCACACGCCATGTCGATCTCGTACGGTACTCGACGATGAGGTTCCTCGCTTCCGGGCCTTGGCATTTCTCTCTGGGGTTGATCCAGTCCCGAGGGCCGCGGCTTCCCCATGCTGCGGCTGCTGCGCGTAGTTGATGCTCAGCGGCTGGTGGTTTGGTGCCTCCGCCGTGTGACGAAAACATCGGCTCCCTCTTCCAGCAGCATGCGCGCCATCGCCACGTCATTCCTGTAGTGCAACGGTCTGACGAGCTTGTGGCCTCGAATCCAGCTGCGGCACGAGCGGCTGCCAGCAGACACGGCATACTCCGTCGTAGAGGATAAGAAATAAGATCCTGTTTGCTGGAATTCAGGAGGGGTCAGGGCGGCAGGCAGGGGTAGGCGCGGCTTCGGCCTGCATCGGCTAGGCTTGTCGCTAGAAGAAAGATTCTTCGATACCATACTCATCAAGCTCGAGACAGGTGCGCTTGCTCACCGACAGACGATGCGACTGGGGGAGAATCCTGGAGCAGGAAGCCGCAAGAGAGGACACCGTATTCTGGGATCAGAATGTCCCGAGAGACATCGACCATATCCTCCGTGATGATACCCTCTGCCCGGGTTACATGATGAATAGAGCTTCAGGGGAGGCTGAAGAATACTCCTGGGTCAAGTTCGTTATCGGAATCGATGATCAGATGGGTACTCTTTACGCTGGGCTCAGGAGGCTTGTGGAGGTGATGGAAAACACGGCATCTTGCCTTCAGAGTCCGGAGGTAGCTGGACGCTGGTCGTACACTAACGCAAGGTACAATGACTCTGCCTACAAGTACACCATCCTCCCTCTCGACAAGTCGCAGGAGGGAGGAAAAATCTCCTTTAAGGTCTTTTATGTGCAATCTGATGACCAAGACGAAGACGAGAGCGCGATCTACAGACGGATCGGGATGGGAGGAGGAGTGTTGACTCAACCCACACAAGATCAGCCTGCAGCCATTGGTCATGGGGAAGATAACCCCCTCATCCCCCCTCAGCGCGAGACTGATCGCGAGCAGGATCGCGAGCTGGATCGCGAGGGCTGATGGAAGAGTTCTTGCCGCTGCAGATGACCTGGGAAGTAGCCATACAGATCAGAGAGATCGAGCGGATCGAGGAGCTGATCCGGGGGGAACAAACTTCTTCTCTGCGAGCCCCTGCGTGTGAAAAGGGTCATCAACTCGCCGCGTCTGCAGCACAACGATCGCTTCCATGTGCTGCCAATCGTAGCTGCTGCTCTGTACCGCAGGTTCGACGTCGTCGATGTGCTGCTCCCGCATTACCGAGCGGAGGAGATGCCTATAGACGTGTTTTTGCTGACCGTCTTGTCCAGCAGCGAGCGAGCTCGTCGTGAGCTGGAGGATACGATGCGGAATGATCCCCGCTTCCACAGACAGACCTGCCCAGACAACATCTTCACGGGACGTCGGCGCATCATGCATCCCCTCGCTGCCGCTCGATCGGAAGAGGATCTCAGGCTCGTCAGCTGCTACACCATCGAGATCGCTACAAAGCTACAGCTAACGGACACAATCGAGCTCCTCCTCAGACTGGGCTCCGAATACACGCCCATCTCTGCCCGGCAGCTGCGGTGGAGGAGGTTCGGAGGTTCTTGCGAATAGCTAGGGCTCGCATCGTCGACCAACACTTTGACGGAAGACGTGCCGAGGAGGCAAACATCCAGACAATGACAGCCCTGATTTATGCAGCCCATGTCGTGATCAGACTGCGGTTCTTGGTGACAACAGTGATGTGATCGGAGACTTCGAAATCCACGACGGACAGTGTCTCGGATGACCTCGAAGTTGATATCTCGTTCTTGCATGCGCTGTAGAGCATGGAAGATGAGCTGCTGATGCATCATGTTGCCCTTGTACGTTGGGGTGATCTCCTTCTACGCCTGCGGGGCCTGTGTTTGCAGGAGCAGCCATGGAGTTTGTCGTCAGAGTGAGAAGGGAAGGGATATGCTCAGAAGCTTGCCCGGTACGTTTACTTTCGGATTGAATCTTCATGTTGAGGGAAGAATTCTTACCTCCCATAAACCAAAACTGCGGATAAAGGTTCAAAATGGAATACAACCATTGCCCTCATGTTATGTGGCCAATCAAGCGACCGGAACTTCAAGCGGCGGCCAGCACAAGCGCATCAGACGTGTGTAGGAGCCACAGACGGGACGTCACGACTCAAGCACTCCAGGATAGTATAATCAATCAAATTTAGTCTAGGCCCATCAGGCAAACGTTTGGAATGAGCCAATCAAACTAACTGTCTAAACAATGTCTGAACAAAGAAGCCAAAACGGCAGCGGCCCTTGTGTAAGGAGGGGGAACCAAGCTTGGTCGAACGCCTATCAGCAGCGGCCGATCAACGCAAACGCTTAAAAGTACTCAGAACTGCCAGCGCATGCCCCCGTCATCGCCGTCTCAAACCCGTGGCGCTGTATGAACCGATTGCACCATCCCTTCGTCGCCCGAAACCCGCTCAGCCCAAGCTCCCCCGCTAACTCCTTGGCCTTCGTCCGGATCAGCTGCCTCCACTGCCCGTCCTGCTGGCTCATCTCCACGTACTCGTGCAGCCGCCGCTCCAGCTCCAAGTTGTGCGACCTCGCGCAGCTGCTCTGCGTCGCCTTCACCCCGACGCTTTGGATGGACCTCAGCCTCGCGACGTTGTCCGGCCGCAGGATCTTGGAGATGGCGGACTTGCTCTTGCCAAAGCGGGCTGCCAGCACGGACTGCGGAGTGCTGTTGACCTGATAGTCGTGGATGATGGCGAGCTTCTGGGCGATGGAGAGCTTGGTCTTGCTGCGGCACGTGAGGCTGTGCTGTGCCTTGCGAGCATCGCTCCAGCGGCTGGACTTTTGCAGAGGACCCGACGAGGTCCACGGCGGGGCAGGCGAGGGGTCCTGACAGCACGTGACGGCAGGGAGACAGGGTGGAGCCGTCAAAGCACTACTCAGCTCCCGCCCCCCCCTCTCCCCTCCCCCTACCGGCTTACCTGCTCTCATCTTCGTTGCCTGGGCTGGCGCCTCGAGGGCAGAGGCAACGCTCTCCTCCTGGATGGAAGCGGCAGGGAGAGCCCTGAAGAAGATGTCCACCGCGTCGTCCATGCCACGGAAGGTGTCCTCCGGGATACACCAAGAATGATCATGCACCGCTGCTGTGCCGGCCGCATGGTCGTGTGTAGCAGCGTCAGGCTCGTCAGGTCGATCCGGATCTTGATGGAGGTACACGAAGCAGCACTCTGCTAGGGGCATGGGAGCGATGCCCCACTGTTGCATTCGAGCTTGAGCTTGAGCGATGTAGTCATCCTGATCTGAGGTGGAGCTGAGGCAGTGCTGTCTTGGAGCTTGATCGCTGGTATGAGAGGAGATTGGGAGTACAGCGGGAGCAGAGAGCATCGGTGCACGCAGTCATAAACTGAACTCGTAAGCGCCTAAAAAGGGTGGGTCCAAAGGGAGGCTTGTTAACTTCAGGCCCCCCCTCGCTGATGGTAGCCGGGCGTCAGGCAGTACCCGCGGCACCGGTCATTGCCCCCTGGTCCTCTTTGGATAAGTACCGCCGGTCATCCTCCGGCCGCGAGTGACTGGCACCGTGCCATGATATCCTTCCGAAAAACTTGACCAATGACTGCAGTAGGGAACTTAACTTTGAGTAAAGGTAGTAGGGATATACAATCGGATGATGTACCGCTGTACAGCCGTCACTGTGATTGGCTCGCTAGTACTGATTTTCAACTTGACTTAACGAGTAACTTTGAGTAAAATCATTTCAAAGTTCAGGGGGGGCCGCTCAGCTACAGACGGCACGGGAGCCTGCCGCATGATAGATAAATCGGCGTCAGTTAAAAAGTGATCCGATATTGTCCTCGTCACTACTGATTTTAACTTAACGCCGGGAACTTCCGAACTTTCCGTTTGACTCGAACCGGCCGGTCCGACGGCCACGGACGGGCGGCGGCGTGCGTAATCATTACGTTGAATGGCCCGGCGGGCCTGGTACGGTACGGTAGTACGGCCGTACGCTTCACTGTCACCGGGCCCCGGGCCATGACCAGACGGTCCGCCGCGCGCGCATCGGGCCCCGGCCGGGGCGGGCCCGGCGCCTGCGGGCCGGCCCGGCCCCGGGCCCGGTTAGCCGGGGCGTAGTCAACTAGTAACGGCCGCCACGTTCACAGAGTCACTGAGTCAAGTAATGCTCAGCCGCTATCCGAGTTATCTCGGGCCGCCGCACCGTCACAGTGATGATCATGATCGGACACACCGGGCGCCGTCCGACCGTACTCTGCCCGGAGGGGCCCGGCTCAGCCGTCGGACCACTGAGCCGCGCGGCACCGGACCGCCGTACGGTGCCACGGTGCGATGGAGTCTCCGAGCACATACACTTCCCGGAGTACTAGTGTACCAGGATCCTTTACTCAAAGTTAAAGTAAGTTACGGTGACCGTGATATGAGTTGCTGCGTGTTTTTCCGAGTCAACTTTCAGTTCAAAAATGGATGCCGTTGGAGCCGCTGAGCCCCGCCGCTGGGAACGCCCGGCCCAGGGGTAGTACGGTGCCTCACAGTGGGGTCATGGGGACCGGGTGGTCGCAGGATGATGAACCAATCGAAAACTACCGGGGTACTAGGCTCTCTGAGTCCGGGAGCTCGGAGGCTTCGGGCCAAGGTGACATAAGAAGAGAGGCGGCTAGAGGTAAAGGTGGCCTATGGGTGCCCCTCGGCTTCTGACCCGGTAGTACAGGACACTTTGCCGACGGTGCCAAGGGTCCAAATTCGAATCACCACCGTTGGTTTCTGTGGACAGGAGGGTAGGGTAGTTAACCGTAACTTAACCCTGTGGGAGTCAGGGTAGGGTAATTGATCCGTGTATGGGGGTGGTCTGTGTTAATCGAGTTCAACCGGAACTTTTTGTACACTACAGCTCAAATTTGAAATATAGAGAGAGTTTAGATTTAGAATCGTGAAAATGTTTTCAAACAAAGTTTGAAAATTCAAGGAAGAGGCCCTACCATCGTCGGTCTTCTGTGATGACATGGCAGCGCTATAGGGTAGGGAGGAAAGGAGAGGACAGGAGGCGCTGACACCGCAACCATCAAGCAGAGGAAGATCTAGAGCAGACAGTGTGCAAAACAGTTGGCAGGCAAAAAGACAAGCAGCAGGTTGTGCAAGCATGGCAGGATGCAGTGATAGAGTGGACTTTGTGAGGACACAAGTGAAGGGGAATGGGCGGAGAATTGATGAGATTATGAAAGCCGCCGATCCGACTTGAACACGGTCACATGGAAACTTTTAGATGGACCGTCAGACTTCCAGGATGATTGTCAGCCAGCAACATTCAGGCCATCAACATTCAGGCCATACGCCTCTTTAGTAGCATCACGGGGCAGGTTACACCCAGCTGCAAAAGACGAGACTGTGATTTTAGTGTGGCATCTATGAAGTACATGTCTTATGTCAGAAAGACTTAGAAATAGAGGAGGCCTCATTTGGCAAGCTTGTTCTTTTGTACCTTGTTGGGATTGTAGCACCAATGACTTTATTTGAGGCAGGATCAAATGTTTTGTGAATAAGGGAGATCATTGGAGGAAGCAGGCTGTTTGAATCGTCGATTTGCAGAAGAAATGGCACAGACTGGAGTAGGACTCACCCTGGCACCGCATGCACAGAGCTCAGCCCTGCGAGTAACAGCTTTCGATCCGGAAGGACCTGCGGCAAGGGGAGGACTCATTCAATTGGGAGACATCTTGTATGAAGTTGACGACACAAGGTCAGCTATCATTGTCGGTACATGACGACACATGTGCTGACTGAAAGATCAGCATTGTAGGGCTAAACGGCGAACAAGTCAAGACCCTGATCCTTGGAGCTCCAGGTTCAAAGACCCACTTGGTTTGCCTCCTTGTGCTCGAGTAACGCTTTCCCACAAGGATCTCCCGTCACCCTCGGCCTCAGAAGACAGAATGGGCGTCTCTTCTATGTCAGAATACAGAGAGCGCAACCCAAAGGCGGCGCCGCTCAGGCCAACAGGCAACCAGCTCGGTATGAGCCTCTCGGCAAATGCCGCACGCCTGACTGTCACTCTCTTAGCCCGATGGAAAATCGCCAGCAGCGACCGATGCAGTCGCAAAACCCTTACGCACCAGCTCACGAACAGCATCAGTACTCGCCTCCTCAAGCTTCACGACAGAGTCACGCGCTCGCACATGAGTCGGCGGGCAAGTTTGACATGCAGAACGAGCGGTCGAATGGATCTTCGCCTCCTCAGGGAAACAAGCCGAGCAACCAGCAACAAATGCGACCCAACGCGAATAATCTCGAGCTCAGCGTCGAGCCGTCGACCGAGGGATTTGTTTCCGTACCTCCGAAATCGGAAGACATTGTTGGGATCGGAATAGGCCTCGCGCTGGACAATCACAACAATCTCTGTGAGACTATGCTTGTCAACTCGATGGTGCTGATGCTCTCTTAGGTATCAGTAGCCTCCTACCAGGAAGTCCAGCTCTCCGATCTGGGCTGTTAGAGGAGGGCGACATCCTACGGATGGTCGATGCAAAAGATGTACAGTACCCCGCCTATCACGTTCCTTGCGACTGACGCGGAGAGCACAGGTCCGAGGGATGACGCCGGAGGCAGTCAGGCCGCTCATCCTTGGGAGGAGTGGGACCTTTGTGACGGTCTCTGTTCAGCGCGGCAACACTCAGATCGTGGCGAGGATGGCGAGGGCAAGACCGGCTCAGAACGCGTCGAGGTATATCCCCAAGGCTGGCTCGTCAGATGCCCCCAAGGCGGACAAGAACACCTACTCAGCGGTTTACTCACAGATGACGGCCGAAAGGCAGGAGACAGGAGGGACTGCAGATCGCAGGGAGCAACCAAGGGATCAGCCCAGAGAGCAGCCCTACGCACAAACCCGCAAGCAGCCAGCCCCAGAAGCGAACAAGGCTCCTCCCCCTGATCAGGAGCTCTGTGGGGTTGGTATCGTTCTCGCACAGAATTCGGAAGGAGAGCTTCTGGTTCTGAGCATGAATGAAGGAGGGCCTGCAGCCAGATCCAACTTGATCAAGAAGAACGACGTGTTGTACGTCATTGACAACGTGGACGTCTACAAGCGGAACATCGACCAAGTCCGACCGCTGATCCTGGGGATTCCAGGCAGCACGTTGGTGATGGGATTCCAACGCCCGGGCATGCGACGACCGATCAACGTTAGGCTGAGGAGAGGAAACATCAAGACTGACCTCAAGCAAATCCCGAACCCCTCCCCCAGACCCTCCCCGTCCGCCACCCCTGGAGGGGGAGCGACGCCGAAGCAGTCGCCAAGCCAGACGCCCAACGCGACGAGACCAAGTTCACCGAAACCTCAAAGACCACCGAAGGAGAACAACCTGGTGAGCGCTCCTCCCAAGTCAACCGCAGCTGCAGGCGAGGAAAACAAGTATGGCCCTGACGGTCCTGTCTGCGGCCTCGGGATCGTGCTGGTCCCAACTCCCTTCGGCTCCCTCTGTGTCGCCTCCATCACCGAGGGAGGCCCTGCAGCTCGCAGCGGACGTGAGTGTGTCAGAGAGGAGCTGTCATGACCTGACGTCTGCTCAGGTGTGCTGCGAGGAGACTTTGTTGAGACCATCGACGGGATCAGCGTACAAGACAAGAGCATCAACGACGTCCGTCCTCTGATCCTCGGCCGGGCTGGCACGACCGTCACCCTCGGGCTGCGGCGTGAGAGCGAAGACTCGGTGATCTATGTCAGAGTGATGAGGGAGCCGGTGCGACTGGGTGAAGTTCTCGTGCCGGGCATGAGGGTCAAGGATGCGCAGGTACAGCATTTGTGCTTTCAGCTGCTGGACTCCCTGACCTTGTCGTGAGCAGGAGCTGGAGAATCAGAAGTTCGACGAGCCCCCGAAGCACGCGTCTCCTCCTGGAGCTCGGGCTCACCATGAGCCAGCGCCCATGGAGCGCAAGCAAGCCCCTCCCCCTCCCCCGCCTCAGTCGGCCCACGGGAACTTCAAGCCTGCCAACCAGCAACGAGACGGCAGGTCGACCGTTGGGCAGAGCTACTCGCCTGCAACCCCGAACAAGAACGAGGCCCCGAAGATGTGCGGGGTGGGAGTCGTTCTCGTGCAGGTGAGCGGGGGAGCTGTCTGCGTGAAGAGCGTCAACAAGGGAGGCCCCGCCTACAACTCCGGCAAGATACAACGCGGAGACGTTCTGTTTGCTATCGATGGGCAGAAGGTGAGACAGCAGAGGAGGCGGGGAGAGCGGGGGAAGAGGAGAAGGGAAGAGTAGGAGGAGGAAGGAGACTGAGAAGAGGCAGGTGCTCGGATGGGATGTGGAGAGCGTGAAGCCGTTGATCCTGGGGCCGCAAGGCTCCACCATCGTCATGAGCTTCTATCGCGTCGGCAACCAAGTAGTGGGGAAGCGATCCTTCGACGTGGCCATGACGCGCACACCCGTGGACCCGTAAGTCGCAAGGAGAGGAAGGGTAACGTGCGTGACATTCCTGCAGGAACGCTTCTCTTCCTCATCGTCCTCCCTTTGAGGTCGCCACCTTCGGCTAGAGGAGAGGGAGGAGTAGTGAGGATGGTCGAGGGCATAGGACGGATAGGGAGCAAGAGAGGCCTGATAGCAGAACTCACATCCTACATGATTTAATCGCAGATAAATAGTCGGCTTATCAACACATCTAACGTCACTCGCTCCTTCCCCGATGGTCCTTTCACAGCTCTTCTCGCTTCTTGCCACCAAAGACTTCACCCTTGGAGGACTGGAAGGGGATGGCGACGTTGGCCTGTAGAGCAGCAAGGTGAGCAGGAGGAGGTGGAGGAGGGGCATCGAGTCACCATGACGAACTGTGAGATGGCCCCGAGGCCTCTCTCGTTGTTGTACTTGGAGGAGTCGAAGCGGATAGGCTTGAGATGATGCTCTCCCGCACGGAAGAGGTACACGTCAGGGTAGCCCGTGATCTTGACAAGGAGGGTGAGAACGGACGGTCGCCTCCCCACCCTCCTCTTACCTCCATCCCTCGTTTCTTGGCGTCCTCGATGTCGTTGGCAGGGAAGTCCATCTTGGCGATGACCAAGCTCTTCACTTGCTTGAAGAACTCGCCGACCTTGGCATACTCCGGCTCAAAAGCTTCGCAGTGTTTACACCAGCTGAAGTCCCCGTAGAAGTTGATGAGGACCTGACAGGACGAGTGAGGAGGAGGAGGAGGAGTAGGAGTAGGAGGAGGAGGAGGAGGAGGAGGAGGAGGAGGAGGAGGAGGAGGAGGAGGAGGAGGAGGAGGAGG